AGCGCGGGCGAACCATGGTCACTAGCCTGCAGAATCAGCTCAAAGGATCGAAGCTGCTCGTGGTCGAAGGCTCGCTGTGCGAACATCACGCCGCTCTGTTCGCTCACAGACACGTAGGATAACAGTGCCCGAGGCTCCAGGTCGCTGGCCGCGATGGAGTAGGAGACTTGGCCGTTGGGCCCCAGGTCTGGGTCGGAGGCGCTGACTTGAGCGATGGAGGCTCCAGGAGGGTTGTTTTCTGCTACATAGACTACATAGGAGGCCTGGTGGAAAATTGGAGCATTATCATTGACGTCTCCAATGTTTAAAGTGACCAATATGCTGGAGGAAAGGGGCGGTTTGCCCCTGTCAATGGCAGTGATGGTGACATTGTACTCCGGGGTCAGCTCTCGGTCCAAGTTCCTGTCCGTTACCAACTTATAAGAATTTTTAGATGAAGAGATTATTTTAAATGGGACTTCACCTTCTAATCGACAATTAACCTCCCCATTTTCCCCAGAATCTTGGTCATGGATTTTGATCAAAGCAATTAGTGTTCCAGGTACTGCATTTTCTAAAATCATTTCAAGCAGAGAATGAAATGTAACTTCTGGGCTATTGTCATTTTCATCTTGAATGTTAATTTCAACAGTACATTGTGAGACCAGTCCTCCACCATCCCGCCCTTCTACTAAGAGAGAATATTCTTTAGTGTCTTCAAAATCCAGTACCTTTTGAGTCGTAATTTCCCCACTCTTTGAATTTATACTAAAGACTTGCCCAGTTCTGTAGAAAGAATAAGTAATTTCTGAGTTGATTCCCTCATCCTGGTCGATGGCTGACACTTGCAGTACAGCGGTGCCTGGAGGCACATTTTCCCGAAGGCTGACTCTGTACACTTCTTGGTTGAATACAGGGGGATTGTCATTGGCATCAGTGACCTGAATCCGTAGTTCAGTGGTGCCACTTAGGGGTGGATTTCCACCGTCCAAGGCAGTCAGGATTAAACGATGGAAACTCTGTTGTTCCCGGTCTAAGGTTTTCTCCAATATCATTTCCGGGTATTTACTACCATCTTGTTTCTCTTTATTTATCAGTGAGAAATTAGGACTTGGAGAGAGTTTATAATTCTGTAGAGAGTTTAATGCAATATCTGCATCTTCTGCTACTTCTAATATAAATCGTGTGCCTGGCTGAGCAGACTCACTTATTTGCAGATCAAAGAAAACATGCGCAAATTTTGGCGCGTGATCATTAATGTCCTCGATCTCCACACTCACGTGGTAAAAGTTCAATGGATTTTCAGCAACAGCCTCAAAATCCAGAGCACAAACTGGCTGCCTCCCGCATATCTGCTCCCTGTCTAGCCTGCCGCTCACAAGCAGTTCCCCTGTCTCTGAGCTCACAGTGAAGTAAGACTTCTCTGAACTGATACGCAGTTTTCGAGTCGGTAACTCCAGGACACGGAACCCTAGGTCCTTGGCGAGGTTTCCCACTACCGAGCCCATGGGCATTTCCTCGGGAATCCTGTAGCGGATCTGCTCAGAGAGCGCCCGGCAGAACAAAGACAGTAGGAAGGGAAGGAGCACTGGCCGCCTGTGAGTCTGGCCCCTCTCCGCAGCGCCGCTCCCCATCCCTCTTGCTCCCCTCTGCTTGCTCACCAGTCAGGAGACTCTGGAGTACGAATGATCTCCGTATTGCAGATATTCGGAGCTCCGAAAGGACTTAGTTCCAGATCCAGTCCAGAAAAAAATACTCTTCTTTTTCCGTGGGAAGTAGCGGTGTAATGGCTGGCACTGAAGAGTCACATAGAGCTGCTCTGGAAAGCGCGCTGCGGTTGCGCGAGGAGATGGTGAGCTCCAAGCTCTCCTCTTTGGACAACAGCGGCGCCCAGAGTCCACAGGGTGAAACTGCAGCCTGTGCTGTTTCAGTTTAACCAGTAGTCTGTCTAAATAAGCCATTTTTTATGTATATATACGTATACACACATATAATATTTTTATTTTGTTTATTTATTTTTATGTGGTGCCGAGGATCTAACCCACACGTGCTAGGCAGGCGCTCTACCACTGAGCCACAACCCCAGCCATTTATGTCAATATATTTACCACATATTGTAAAGCCCTCTTTCAAGTATCTTTCCTCTTGTTTTCAAATGGTTGGAAGCAGCACATTGTATATCTCCATTCTTAGATCATTCCACATATATTGAATTCTTATCTAAAGCCAAGTATTGCCCTTGTGAGTTACAATACAATAATGAATAAGGCAGGGATCTTGCCCTCAGACTTTAAAGTCTACTGATTTTACAAATTCATTTTTCTTTTGTAGCTATAATATGTTGAAACTATTTTTTTTCTTCTTGCATCGATTCCCATGATTCTCCATTTTAGGCAATTGGTACTGTTTCATAATATAT